TGGAGTCAAAAGACGACAGTTTATGTGAGCAGGAAGTCTGGCAGCATCCGTGCTTAGACGACAAGGAGCTGAGAGACTTTATGTCAAATCCAATGGCTCAGGGCACATGGACCCATGACATGATGCTGAATGTTGACCTAGCTAACAAGAGAAGAGAAGGTAGATGATGCTGCTTAGACATTAAACGACTTTCTAAATGTATTTCTAGTCATTATGAGACCAATTCTAGTATTCTCTAAGAAGAGGTCATTTTATTGCATATAATTACTGCCTCTGCTAGTGGCGTTAATATAAAGATGGGGTTGTTTCCATTTTGGTCATAGCCTCATTTAGTATTATAACATTTGTCTGACCTCGTCTTTGCTACTTGGTCGTGGTGTCAGGTAGACCTAAAAGGAGGCAATATCATTGGTGTTACGTCTTTTTTTTAACCATCAGAAGGATCATTCTTCTGGACTGTCTTTTTGCGACTTGTCGTCTGGGGCTGTGTTTAGCACTGTTCATGACCTTTGCCGGTGAACGTACTAAGTCAACTGTGCGATGCTTGAAAAGTTGTTGAATATTCTCACAGTGGATGTAGGACCTGGCTATCTTTTCTTCGTCTTTCTGGCACGACTAAGTTGCGAAAACAAGGTCAGACGAGTTTAAACTGTTTCTTGTTTGCAAAGTTTGGCTGAGTATCCATGAGAAATAGTAACACTTTTGTATAGATGAATAAAAGATTGGTTTTGAAAAGTGCATCAGAAGATTCATTTCGGGAGAAGATAACTGGAAACGATTCTTGAATTGGTCATAGTGGAGGAGGATTAAGAACGTTACTCATTGTGGGTCGCATAATTTGGTAAATGATGATTACAAATATCCTATAATGCCATGATTCGGCTTAAAGCTGCCATTGAATTTCCATCAGCCTGCATCACACTGTTAAAGCTACCGATGATTAAAATGGCCTTCAAGGCGAATCAGGATTTTCTTATAGCACCGTAGGGTTGTCGACTAAACGGACTTTTATTTACGACAATAGGTTGGGTCTTATTTGAGCTATTTAATAGTATTTTTTGAATCAACTATTGTTTTTGTGACTACCAGTAAATCAGTAGTTTCAAATGTATTCACACAATTTCGTTTAAGGTAATGCAGGACTGGTAGAATAAGAATTTCCCCACAATTATCTGAGTTGAGCTGACGCTTGCATACAATTTCACATTGTCATGCTTTCCCAAAAGTTGTTATCATCCAGGCACCACAGCGGAAGTCGAATCGCGACTTTGCAGGATGGGAGCTTGACAGGCTCACCACTCGGCTACCATGCCACGAAGTGATGAAGGACTGGTTCGAATCCCGCTGAAGGTGTTGACAAGACCAGTTGATGCGAGGTCGAAACTGCAGTCCACTGGTGCCTGGATAAGAACCACTTTTGGGAAAGCAGGGCTTTGTGAAATTGAATGGAAACCTCAGCTCAACTCATATATTATTGTGTGAAAATTCTTCTCCTACCAGTGCTTCATCACCTTAAGCCAAATTGGGTAAATACATCTCATATTATTTAATAGTAGTACAAAGTGTAGCCACGACATCTTAACCACTACGTCACACTACCACTAATGTCCTTGCGTTATAGGTCAGACATTATTTTCAAGGAAGGCTAGGTTTTCTCATATTATTTGTCTTTGAAGCAGTTGTACTGCTATAGTAATTGACTACACTACTTATTTTTATTTATAAGTAGGTCTCGTGACTAACAAAAGATTAAATGTTTAAAAAGATAGATATGCATTTTTTTAGCCAAAATGCACTAGAAATCCACTTGAGATAGGCGTCCGTACTTGGCTCTCATAACATGTATTTAATGAAGGAGATAACCTGTGAAGGGAAGGCCTGATATTTGCAAGCATGGCAACCAGAGCTTAGGCGCTCTGCTCAGTAAAGCGGCAGTTTATGTGCTTTTAGGGCTTTGAGAATTAGCGCATGGAGTGAAATGCACGCAGGGACTGGAACCAAGTGACATCGCTCAACCAGAAAGAGAAGGAATGGATCCACGAGACAATGATAGAATCCGGATTGGAGGCCCGAGTCGGATCAGCCGATCGAAAGAGAGGGGTCGGGGCACATACTTTGAAGATTGAAATGTAAACAAGTGATAAGTTGTGATAGTGCGGCGATGGGATTAGCGGGTAAAGAGTAGATAGATAGGCCGGGATAGAAAGAGGAGTGATAGTGTAACGTTTGTCGAGGGATCAACTTCATTTGTCTATTTGACGAGTTCGTAGCTTGATGCGGAGAATGGGAGAACTCGCTGATGATGCTGACTACGTTTGAGAATGTACCAAGTCCACTGTCAAATGCTGGGAATCATGACAACTACTCTGGCAGACGACTTCGGACTAGGCCCGTTCTACATAGTCGCCTTGGCAACAAGACCAAGTTGCGACAACGAGGTCAACCCACTTGTATAAATTTTTAAGCTTCATTCATCCCAGAAGCTGCAACAAAACTATAGGCA